TCGCTTTCTGGGTCAAAACTACTCGAATTTCCTCACTCACGTTGTTACGACTGAATCGACTTTTCAATTCTCTATCCAACGATGCCAAAACTAATCTGTGGCTCGAATGGTTCTTGAGAAACTTCGAAGAAAGCAGCGTCATGTTCAAGTGGATTTTGCAACTAAAGAAAAAACAACGCAAACCTAAAACTTCTTGAATTCAAGCATTTTTTGAGAAAATTGCCAACATGTTCATGTCGATTCACTTGCTGAAAAGGCCATTTATTTAAAAACGGGACGGAAAACATGAAATTTTGCAATAATCTTACGCCACCCTTGCACAAAACGACGATAATTTTTATAATTTCATAGATAACAGAAGACTGTATTTTTTCTACATAACCCCCCCTGAATTTAAAGCTGGATCCGCCCCTGAAAGCAAGAGAAATGTACTTTCAAAGCACGAAAGTTCTTCATTCTACGTGCGTAAAAATACATTAAAAAATATGCTCCCAATTCAATAAATTTAAAAAATTACTAAAGAGGAAAGATGGGTCGACTCTAAGCAATTGAATGTGAAACTTCTAGCTTCAATAGATTTGTGGCAAAGAACACACAGTTTTCTTCACAAGCAATTTATTGGACTGTCAAAATCGGCTGTCAAAAGCCCAAAACGTTTCGAGTGTACCAACTGCTCATCATCAAGGTCCTGATAATAAATTTCCTGATGGAGAATACCGTGTGCTTTTTGCGAAGCCTTTTTCCATTCAGTTGCTTCGCTGAGAAAACATGGGCCTTAACTCGACTAATTAACAATTAATATCTCAAACCTCTTGTATATGAACTTTATGCACTTTGCTTTAATAAGAAAAACACGATTTATTTTGAGATTTAGATCAAATAGTGCACATTAATGTTTGGACGCCCTGTGGGCTAAACCCACTTAAACTAACACTGAACTATACTGGGCGTTGAAATGAGCGGCGTTTTCCTTTATCGAAAAGCCATTGGGAGTATTTGTGTTAACTAATATTGAACCGCAGAATATGCCAGAGCAGTGAAAAGTTCTGGATAAAAATACTCAAACAGGTGCTTTTCACCTACAACATTTAAGCCCCTTGCCAAGACTGTACCCGAGTGTAATCAAATAGTGACGATAAATCGATCAAAATGCCGTACTATTCTGAACTGGGAGTTTATACGCCGAGTAGTAGTTACACGAGTCCCTTACTGAAAGGTCCATACGCTACTCATTCATCGATCCTCGCCTCGAACATTTTACCCCCATCCTCCAAACCGTACACCCGCAGCAACTTCCGCGGTTACAAGCCGCACTTGACGCCCATCAGCGAGTCGAATCTAAATCCGCTCAGAAGGATCAGTTCGCCCAAGGTTCTGTACCATTCCTCGCCCAAAGTGAGAGTGCCCAGGCCAGTGAAGATCAGCACCTCCGATATCGATGCGTCGCTGAGTCGCTTGAACATCAAGCATGCCCAGCCTCAAGCCAAACAGCCTCCAAAAAAAGAATCATCGTCCGTAGTTGAACACGAAGCCAAGCCTAATGCTGAGATAAGGCGAGACCGGCCTACCATCAGACTGCAAACTATCCACAAGGATACGGTCGAGAAGGAGATTGGCCAGATCAAGAGCTGGAGGGACAATTTCCAGCCTGAGGAGCTGGCAGTGGAGGCTAAGCAGAGGAAGAAGACCCCAGGGGAGATTCTGAAGGAGAAGTTCCTCATCAGGAGCAAGAGCAAGGAGGCGGTGCCCCAGCTGGAGCCTCCGAAGCTCCATCGCAGAGTTTCAGTGAAAAAGAGCCCCAGCTTCAAGGACATTTGCAACGTGATCACTTCAGATCAAGTGGTCGAAGACCTCAATCCGGGCCAGCCGCTGGAGGTGCGTCGTCGACAAAGCAGGCAGTTTTCCCATGACGACATTATAAAGGAAATTCAGCGAAGCTCCTCAACGTTGAGTGTCGAGGAAGTGCAGATTTTGGACGCCCTACTACAAGCAGAGAACGAAGTTGGCCTCTACCAAACCCCTCCAGTGCTTGAGGAGGAAGCCAAAGGCGCCAAGAGGCGGAAACCTAAACCCGACAGCAACACAGATGGAGAGGACGCTTCCAAGAGCCATCGAAGATCCACGAAAAAGCTTCTAAAGCATTCTGCAAGCGCAGAAAGCATGCCGGAAAGCACAAAGCTACGCAAGGAAAGCTCGCTGAAAAACATGATCAAAGACATTTCGCAGGTGGAGATTGAAACCATTAAACATCCGGTAAAGCCCAGATCGATAATCACCAGCTCCGTGGGCGCAATCGATGAAACCCCCACTCCCCAACAGCTGAAGGCCATCGTCGAAGACCTGGAGGTGGAGGAAAGTCCCAAGCAGGAGAAAAAAGAAAAGAAATTCCGCTTCAACGTGACCGTGCAGGAGTTTCCGGTGAAGAAGAAAATCAACGCTCCCAAGTACGAGCTGAAAAAGGACAACTACGGTGTCACGCAAATTCCCAAAGCCAAATTGCCTGTGGTGACAAGCATTTTGAAAAAACGCCAACAAGGACAGGCGGGCAGTGAGGCTGGAAATGGCAAAGAAATGAAGAAAAAGCTCCTGAAGAGTATGTCGGAAGTGCAAGTGCGATCCAAGCCCGACTTGGTCAAAAAGTCCGGAAGCAATGAGAATCTGCACAGCAATTTTACCGTGATGGTCAACAAGTCCTTTGGGGACAATTCGCCGAAAATTCCCGGCAGCCCTCAGGGCAGCGGAAAGCTGAAAATCATCTCCATCGCAAACGGAGTGGAGAAAACCCACAACAAGGAGCAGGTGCAGGTAAGCATTCCAACAACCGAAGCCCAAGCGGACCAAGAACCAATTGCTGATAAGGATTTTTTATTCAAATCCGCAAAAAAGCGTCTTAGGTCGGACACTTTTTTGTGCAAGAGTGATTTAGGAAGGAAAGACTTACCGTCTTGGGCTCAAGCGGTTCCGAAGGAACTTGACGACACCAGCAAGGAGACTATCAGTTTAGAAACCGAAGAAAAGGCGTGTGTTGCTGCGCCTGAGGTAGTTGAGGATTTAAGTGAAAAAGTTGATAAAACTCAGCAAGTTGAGGAAGTGACTGAAACTAAGGAGGAGGTGACTGTACCAGAAAGCACAGAACCACCAGCAGTGGAAAACAACAACTTTTGGGACTCTCTCGGCGAGGAGACGTACAAACCTCCAAAACTCAGCAAGCTGAAAATTGAGCCAAAGGACCCGAGAGCGCTGCTCAACGAGCTGCAAGAAGCCCTCAAAGAGCCAGAGACGCCGGAAGAGCTGGAGCGGCGCATGGTCTCCAAACGCTCCCTCATTCAGAAAGCGAACAAAAGCGACCCGGATTTGAGCATTTTTGAGCCTCCCACTCCGCCGCCTCCCGAACCCGTCAAAGAACCCTCTCCTGAACCGTCTTTCGTTCCTTTACAGTCCAACCGACTCTCCCAGTGGATGAATCCATGGAAGAAACCCGACCAGATGGAGGAATGTCCGGTTGAAATATTCGCCAAACCCAAGTTTATACGGGCGCGCCATATTCCGCGTCGATGGAGGCACGATAACGGTGAGGACAGTGATAGTGAGGACAGTACCACTAGTGAGGAGGACTCGTCCAGTGATGAGGAGAGTGAGGAGGAGGAAGAGGATGCGGGCGAGTTAACGAAAGTGGGCGCCAGCACCTCGAGCGATGACTCTGGATTTGATTCTGGAAGAGCCAAAACTAAAGGTGAGTTATGGTTAGATGAATGTGTTTTTGAGCGTTTAAAGTTATATACAGGGGAGTCCCAGCAGTAATGGCTAAATTCGGATGAAATCTAACCGTGTGCTTTGATCCCCAAATAAACTACCATCATCAACTAAGTAATTTTTTTAATAGAACAATCGCTTTTTGAATTAAAAATTGACGGTCCGAGCTTTTATCCAAAAAACAGTTCGATTAATTTTAATTACATTTAGAGCTTACTTTTGGACTCGCTCTATAGTGCGTTTGGGTTTTGGAGAAAATGATGATAATTTCGATCCGAATGGGCTTCCAATATCAACATATTTGCGCTAAGTGCTTTATTTCAGGACTGCCATGAACTTTGGTGTTTTTATTATTTATTCGTACCGCTATTTTTATATGTGACATTGACCAACCGCCAAAATAAAAAATGTTGAGCAGACGTAGATAGAATCAGTTGATCTGTGATTCTGACAAAGTCGGTAGTAAATTCAGCGTGACTCAGTATTTGTGTGAAAGCTGGCTTTTAAAAAAATATCCGTTCTTTATATAAATAAGTTGATATATCGGGATTTGTCTTGCTCTCTTGGATAAATAATGGGAAAATGCAATGCTCTTTCACAAATAGCGATCCAAGGTCCAAGCATTTTTCAGGCTGCTCAATCGCAAACTCCTGTCTAGATCAAATTCCAATATTGGGAAAGTCGTCGTTAATATGAAAAATGCTTTTCCGGCTCTTGCCCAGATTGATGAGCGGCTCTTGCAACTGGAAAGAGTTGCATGCTTTCACCATGAATTTTTAAAACCGTCTATTTTTAGCTGTTTTTTCCCGGTTGGCTTGTTTTTTGACTTTTGGCTAATTCGCTATTGTCGATTACCAAGCTTTTAAATATAACCGGCACATTGAAACGCAGATACTCGAGTCTATGGAAAATAGTGCGCTGACTAATTGTCATCCATTATTTAAGTGCTTAATTTTCAAGAAAGTTTATGAGATGGACCGGAGCGATTCCGCAAAATTGTCCTCTGGAATGCAATGGCAGTGTTTGAACTACAAAATAGTTTAAATATATCCGGGTATAAGAAGAATTTATAAAGTTTTCAATTTTGCCCAGAAAACTTGCGTATTTCCCGCTTAAGTCCGAAATATGCAAACATATTTTTAAATCCTGGAACGTTGGCAATAACATAAATACACGCCGTGGGATTGAATATTCGACAAGAAAATAGGCAGGCAGCCTTTTGCTTCCAGTTAATCCTCAAAAGAGCTTAATCTGGATTTTCCCCGAATTTCCATTTTCGTATTTTTGGCATGATCTGAAATACTTTGGAAAACCTGCGTTATAAATAACTGATGCATTGTTGCTGATTTATACAGCAACCACAAATAAAGATTAAAGTTGTCAAATCAACTTTAATTTGTGCGGTGTAGTAGTTACTTTTAATGTTTCGACAGCACAAGGGATTAGCGCCTTCAGAGTTCAACAAGATTCTGACTAAAAGAAATTCAATAAATCAATAAATCGGGGAAAAGTGGGTTTTTGTGATCTGAAAATGTCCAAGGCCTATGTGGAAGATTCCCCAGAAAGTATTCCATTGCTTATAACAGACGATATTTGTCCAAAGTAGAAAATCCTCCGTGTCCCTAAAGGGACAACCTTTCGAGGATCGGCTGCTTAATTTAGTCCGAAGTCCACTTGTTCTCCCAGATGCCATAAAGCATGTCTCGTCCGCATACTGACAAACAGCCCCAGACAAAAATTATTCATTCGTCTTTCTAACAAACAATTAATCTACAACTCCTCATACTTTTAAATCCCGTGTTTGAAATAAATTAATCCCTCTCTAGGAGCTGTTAAGATGATTATAGAGTTTGAGTAGCATACAGTTCGACAAAACATTGCAAGTTGAGTTAGGAAGTTAAGAAGCGCTTAAAGCAGCTTGGGCTTATAATGGACAAACTATTCCGTACGTAAATGCGAACTACAGGGTGGGCAAATCAGAAGTTTCCACTCGGCTTTTCTCAGTTATGTGCAGAACAACCAAACTAGCCAATTTTTTGACTTTTTTCCAGTACTTTCAGCTTCAGATGTTCTACTATAACCCCTAGCTGTCCATCCCATTCAATCGATCTTCACTCTCTATTCAATTTAAGGATAAATATTCCTCTTTTAAAGTTGTTTGGCAACAACCGGGAAAACCCCGGTGGAAACTTTATTGACACTCTGTATGTGTGAAACTTGATGGGTTTTATTTACGTTTCTACAGAATGCGACGTGAATTGTCACAAAAAATGCCAAAAACTGATGGCAAATCTGTGCGGCGTCAATCAGAAATTGGTGGTTGAAGCTATTGAGAAAGTGAGGAAAGGTAAGTTGCAATTGAATCTAGAAAAAAAATAGTAGAAATAGATTAAAAACATTTTTTGGAGCAACAAGAGTTTATTTTCTTAGCTCTCCCGTCAGTTAGAGCTAACAGAAAAGAGACGTTCATCCATGAAATGGATATTATTAAACCCAATGGCATTGAAGAACCCTTTTAATAATGGCTGAAAACGGACGGAATCGAGAGATTAAATGGATGTTTGAGGGCCTTCTCTTGTTACTGCCATAAAAGCGGCATCATATATTGTATTAATGGTTTTTTTCCTAATGTTATTTAGCCCTTTCATAGGGCAGAGAATCGGCAAAATCCCCGCTGTTTATTGGTAGAGTTCGAGCTTGATTTGAGTGAGTTGGGAATTATAAAAAACAGTTTTCTGGTATTAAGAGATCGAAAACAAGCATTCAACAGTGAACTTCCTGACGCAGTTCACCACGCCAATTCCTCAAATTTTTTTGTTTTTGTGGATCGTTAATTTTTGGCGGCTGTTTTCCTGCTATTATTAGCGTGTCGCGTCACGTTTCGAACAAGCGTGTGATTTAGCTTGTCTGCTTGCTATTTATTTTTGGACAGGTGGTATACAAAGCATTAATATCGAAGGAGTTGGCCACTAATTAAACGATCACTCCCATTAATCGCCTTCTGGATAGATGCGGGCGATTTGCTCAATAACTGATCGAAGAATTTGTACAATTCCAGGTTCGATAGACAACCGAGATTCGCCAGGAAACGCATTGAATCCCGCATCCAATCCGGCTTTTGCTCTAGATTTCAACGATCTGCCTGAAGAAGTGAGCCAGAGCAGCACATATCAAGGCTTCCAGAAGAGTGGCCGGATCACGCCTCCTGCCACCACAATCCCAAGGTTCCGCAAGTACTGTGTGGATGACTTCAATTTCCTCAAAGTGCTGGGCAAGGGCAGCTTTGGCAAGGTTGGTGAATATTTTCGGTATTAATTTAGTGCAGGTAAAAATACCTGCGGATGCTGTTGCCACTAACCTATTGGCCTAGATTAATGGAAACGTAAAAATAAAAATAGTTGCACTCAAATTTCGGCATTGAACATTTGCACAACTAATTGGCCTGATTGGTTTCCAGGTGCTTTTGGCTGAACTGAAGGGAACTGAATACTACTATGCCATTAAGTGCCTGAAAAAGGACGTGGTTCTTGAAGATGACGATGTAGAATGCACTTTGATTGAAAGGAAGGTTCTGGCCCTTGGCACCAAGCATCCCTACTTATGTCATTTGCTGTGCACCTTCCAAACAGAGGTAAGTGCTTGTTGTGACTTACCTCCAATCATGTAGGGTTAGATTGACTAGCAAAAATTGCTTTGTGGAAAACGAGGCTACCTAGGAAAATTCCTGATGCACCGCTGGAAAAAACGAACGTTCCTCTATAAGCGTTAAAAATAAACGGCCATGGAACTTTTTGACAATTTTTGAAAATTTTGCATACTTAAGGCTGCATGTAAGTCGCCGAATGTCCAAACCTAATCAACTGATTTTAAATAATTTATATGTCGAGAACAGGACTGCCTAAGAAAATGCCTGATGCACTACTGGAAAGAACGCAATTTCCTCTATAAGTGTTGAAAAACGCGCGGCTCTCTTTTTAACAATTTTTGAAATTTTTTTATACTTAGGGCTGCATGTAAGTTGCCGAATGCCTAAGCGTTCCAAATTGATTTTCAATAATTTATTTGTCGAGAACGAGGCTACCCAGAAAAATTCTTGATGCATTGCTGAAAAAAACGCTCTCTTCTCTATAAGTGTGAAAAAATGGAGGGTCATGGCACTTTTAGACAATTGTTTCGAATTTTTATATTGCCCGAATGTCCAAGCGGTCAGACTGATTTTCAAAAATTTATTTGTCGAGAACGGAACAACTTAACTTAACGGAAAATTCCTAATGAACTACAAGAAAGAACGGACTTTTAAAGGCTAAAAAACAATTTTTTTTACACTTACTGCTGCATTTAAGTCGCCGAATGTATAAGCGAAGCAAATCGATTTTCAATATTTATTTGTCGAAAACGAAGCTACCTAATTTTCTGTAGCTTCTACCGAAAAATTCTTGTAGCACCGCTAGAAGAAAAGCCTTTTCTCTATAAGAGTAAAAAAATGCAAGGCCAAGACACTTTTTGACATTTTTTTTAAATTTTTGTACTTGCGGTTGCATGTAAATCGCCGAATTTCTAAGCCTAGCCAACTGATTTTTAATCATTTATTTATCGATAACTGAGCTACTGACGGAAATTCCTGATCCACTAGAGGAAAGAACGCACTCCTCTACAAGTAGACCTCTCTATAAATAGGAGGATCTATTTCAAGTGGCATTTTATCCATGCAATCTTTGAAACGTTATTGGTCAAGGACCTGAAGTCTAGCTTGAAAGGTGTTTTTTTACAAACTTCTTTTTGGGTATTTCGCCTCAAAAATGTTTGTCTTTAAAAAAGACAGAATTTCCTCACGTCTTTTATTACAGATTGATAAAGTGCTCCTATTTCACAATAAGAACGAATTATTTATCAAAAAGTAATCAAGAACTATCATCTAGAGGGTATCCTGCGACACACTTAGGCTCAAGCTGTAAGGGAAAATTCCAATTAGTAGAGAAATTAATTTGAAAAATTACCTTGACGTTTCGATAGCTATTTTCTGCTATCGTTATCAAAAGAACGTAAATGAACCTAAAAAAGAGTATGTTAATAAATTGTGTAACAATAGTAGGATAATACAGTATATGAAAATTCGCTCTGATAATTCGTCT